TTCGTGTTGAGCCATTGACCGCAAGTCTGTCGCTGCTATCTCAAATGTCGAATTTATTTGAGAAGTGTGCATCCTGTGGCAACGAAACACCCGGTTCGCTCTTCCGTTCAAACCAGTGTCGTCTTGCCGCTTCGGGGGCTCGAGGTGTGGCACCAAGAGGGCAGTCAAAGAAAAACAGTCCACCTTGTTTGATTATTCCCTCCCGCCCTGTTGGGAATGTCTAGAGTCTCTCACCGCGGAAGAGGCTACTGCCAGCTCTGAAAGCCCAAGGGTTGAGCTTGCCCAAAAATCCAGGTTTCAATAAAGCAGGCTTTTATTGGCCGCGAGTCTGCTTGGTTGAGAATGCAGCTGATCGCTGCGAGCACAGAAAGACTGGCTTCCTCAGCGCGACTCAGCCTGCGTCTGATTGGTTACAGTGGAACTCCGCCTTCAGCGCTTCGACGCTATGGCCTCTCCCGCTGCCAAGGAAGCGACTGTTGGTTCGTGAGACACCTTGTGTGTGCCGTCTTTGTCATCGGACTTCGTTATGGTGAGTAAAGCGGCTTTAAACTGGTTTACGGAGTAATCGAAGCCGACACTGAAGGAAGTCACCATAAGGATGTCGTAATAACGAGAGTGGGACAAAAGGAAAGCAGGCATATGCAAAACCTAATGAAAGAGCAGAAGCGTGCAGTAGCGTACCCTGCCAAGGTATACTAGAGCGAAAGTAGACGAACAACTGACGAACAAAGAAGCAGGCGTGGCATTAGTAGTTCAGCATACAATTCACAGCCTTTCTTGCGCACGGCCTCGCGGGCGCGTTCAGTTTAACATTTGTTGGCGGTGTGCTGGATATCGGGCCGTTATTAGCCCGATCGACAGTATTGATGAAATCGCCAACATGTCCTCCACGCTTAAGAAGACGTATTGTCTGAATAATGGATATTTCACTACTCTTGAATAGCACTAAGGTCGAGCCTACAACGTCAAGCAACCATTTCGGGCCAGAGACTCATACCGCAAACTCACATGATAACACCAACCAGCAACATCTTGCCACGGACTCCATCTCTTGTACCCCTCAATCAGTGCCATTATGCCCTCTTCTCCCAAAGCCACCAGGGTCATTGCGAGCAGGCACTCATTCTGGCATATCCCCAGAACCAGCGGAATTATGGGGTCATTCTGTGAAATCTAGTCAGCGGAATCAGATAGCTTGGCCAATTTGTCCTGGTGGGTGGCCGGGCCCATGCTTATTTCACCCGCCCCATGGAACTTCACGCGTGAAGGACAAGACCCCATTTAGTCCAGCAGAGGATGCTGCTCTGATATATATTCTTGAAAACCTTGGCGGCTCCCGGCGAGACCTTCTACGTGCTATATTTCGACGCTCATATGGAAACATGAATATTCGACGTGATGAATTGTACGGCTACAGTTACTGCAGGGGATGTCCATCGTGCCACTTGTTCATGCAGCGACTTTTTAGAATAAAACAGCAGTAAGTTAGCAGCTGTATCCGTGAATGAGCGCCAGTCTGACTTGGATAAATAAGATACCAAGGAGCGCGCTGGACAATCAGCCAGGAATTTTCTAATGGAACAATCGACGTCCTGGTCCCACCACCACTCCGGATCCGTAGCTTTGATGATTTCCCATTACCTGTTGTTGCTAGGGTCCGTGGTAGGCCTTGAGATGTATCTCTGACTGTTATTTCTGGTGCATTGTCTGACCAATGGAGTCAGAAAGCATTAAGAAGTGGCTCCGACCATTGTTTTATTTTCCAACCTCGGGCATTACATCATACTGGAAGCTGGACGCTACGCCTCTACACGCAAGATGATAGTGAATTTTCTGTTGGCTTCGAAATATCATGTGCGGATTGATCTGAACCATGCATGATAATAACATCGGTGGCCTCTTCCAATTGCAATCCCTGGAATTATAGATCCATCAAAGAAGACATATTTTGGCTAGCAGAATTACTACCAAATTCTATCTGCGATGGATATCACATGTCGCTGCCTTTGCCGTCCCTATTTTCGGTGACTTGGAAGAGAGGAAAATCCGCTATTTTTGGGCTATGGCTTTGGTTGACGTCCAATCTCTGGCTTTCATCATCTGAAATGTTACTAGTGGTAGGTGCTGGCGCGTATGGATGCGAAATGCTTTCGCGAACAGGACGACTGGTGCCAGTTTGTATAGCACCTTCATCAGTTACTTTTTTTGCCGCTAAAAGAGCAAAGTCTCCAGAGTCAAAATTGACACGTTTCTGTTTCTGATTAATTATAACTCGAATGGACTAGGAATCTAAACATACCTGTTGCCCGAGTTTGTGTCCGCCGGGGACTTTCCCATAGGCGCTAAGGATATGCCTCTCATGCTCTGAGAGGGGCTAGAGTCAAATCTAGTGAGCGCACATTTGTTACTACCGCAAAAGAGTAGACTTACCTCAGCATGTGATTCGTTATCTCTTTCCGAGCCCATTCTGGTTCGTCCCAAGTAGGCTTTATTTTAGAGAGAGCAACTGATCTTTCAAATTGTATTGTTATTGAGATTTCAATTCTAAACCCAGGATGTATCAGCAGGTGACGCAAAGGTGACGCGATAACATGGATGGGTTGGAACGGTCGGATTAATTAAGCCCGACCGCACACTCAATTATGCTACCGTACCTACCCTACTGTGGCGGACAACCAATAGCGACTGGTGGAACTTGATTCCGTGTGTGTTTTTTTTATGAAGCGGTGACGCAACCCACCAGCTACTGATCCCACTTCATCTTCTCCTTTTGAACTTTTGAGAAATAGCAGCCTATGTTTGAACGATAGGGGATTGTATTTATTCTTAACTTGAATTCCCAGGGAGACAATGAAAAGATGGGCAGCCAGCAACCACCAAACGCGATTGCCCCCAAACCAGGAGCCAGCATTTTTCGAACAGATATCAGTTTCCACTCTCGGCTGCAGAAGGCATCTAGTGCTTGTCTAGAATGCCGGAAACGAAAACAAAGAGTAGGACTTCTTACTTATCCCGTGGAGACTCTTCTAATTGCTATATAGTGTGATGGAGCTAGTCCATGCTCTTTCTGCCGTCGCAGCGGGCAACATTGTGTGATTGACGAAGAGGGTGATGGGCGTCGCAAAATCGCACTAAAGCGCAAGATCGATTCTCTAGAACAGGATAATGAAATGCTCCTTGGACTTATTCAGACAATACGGAGGCTGATGAGGAGAGAGCACTTGAATATTTCCGCTTGATTCGGAGCAACTTGACACTTGAAGACATTTGTCAGCACCTCAAGGCAAATATTGTTGCCGAAACCCCCCGGGGGGAGGCGTCGGCTTGCTTAGAGGTTGTCCATGCTGAACGCCAGACCGCTGGAAGAAATAGTTTATATTGGCAAAACGATGGATTCTATTCGAGCCCCAGCACAATCCATGGATTCAGTGTACGATGACATTGGATCTATAGCGCATCATATATCACTATGTCCTATCTGCCTTGACGACATCGAGACCAATAGCCGGCGGAAAATATTCCTAAGCTGCAAGCTAAAAGCCTTGAAGGTTATAGTTACTGATATTTTGGAGGCTCTGGAGAACAAGAAAATGCCCCAGAGGCTTGTTGCTGCTATGAGGATCAAGGCATTCTTGGAGCATATCCAGCACCTTCTGCCGCGAGATTCGAAAAACAAAGAACCATCAGGGACTGCATTGAACCGAGAAAGCTCTCTTGAGCCACAAAATACAAGTCAGTCGAGCCCTGGTGGTGCACGTGGAATAATGGACATTAAGAACCTGACCTCGAACTGTTAATGTGAATCTACCCTGGACGCTAAATTGCTGGAGCTAATTATTTTATGGTTGTCTAGTTGAAGGAGGAATAAGGAAAAGGTAGCACCGACAAATTTAAGCGAAGCGGTAAGCGTTTTGACAAGGAAGCGAGGAGCTGACCTCAGCATGAGTCGCCGATCCCGTAAGGAATTCAACTGTAAGCTCTCGGGCCATGGTGCGCTCCTAGTGTCGGATTTGTAGCTCGATGGTTCACAGTCCCGTCGAGATACCAGATAGCAGCCAGTCGGCCAAGCTGGCTCCAGGGCTACGGCTTGTGAGCCAACGGGGGACAGCGGCCCAAGCGGGACAACTGGTTGCAGCGTCCCGTGATCTGTCTTGGCCCACGATGCCGAGAGGCTTTTGGTCTCCAGATTTTAGGCCCACCTGGAGCCAGGTCCAACGCCATCCAATCTCTTAACAGCTTCCGATCCACCCATGCCAGATTGCGAGCATCAATGGCCAGATAGCCTCCGAAACGGATTGGGAAAAAGTCTTCCACGTACTGTATAATGCCTGATGCCACTGTTGCCATAGTTTGGGATCGCCGACCTCTGAGTGTTTGAATCACAGCTCGATTCGTCCGTGGCTGGAGAAATCTCGGTGTCGAAGACAGGAAAAAAAAATAAGTGATCTTCAAGCAGGAAATGATTTTCTTCATTGGGCATGGATCGCCGTTTCCCCCCAGGGACGAATCACCCGGATGTGAGAAGACCTAAGCGTCCCCGCATACCCGCTTTGGCTCGGCGGCAACAGGAAGGCCGATCGCTTTCCCTCCGCCAATCAGTGCAAGTTGGGCCTCTACATCGCTCGAAATTCGGCCCCAAAGAGCCGCGCAGATTGACAGAACAACCTTGTTCGATGACAGGGCTTACCACGGGGCTAGGGAAAGCTATTGCAACGCCGCGTGCGGCGGAAGCACTATTTTTATTTTTGTGGGGCCAGAGCCCATTCCGCCATTTAGGTCGACGGGAGTGCAAGCATACTGAATCTTATTAATATGATCTCAGATCGGCCGCATCTTTTGAGAAGGAAAAGTACGAAAAGCGCTACTAGGTCTTTGCATCGTTCCGGTGCACGAGTATGGAAGGCATTGATTGAGAGGGTTTCTCTGAAGGCAGGCTGCCCAGGTGCTCTCAGTGCTCTTTGGTTGAGGCCGCTCGCTGGCAGCGCTCTATTTCACCCGCTTGGTCTGTTATTTTCAATACTTATTCCAATGAATGGCAGAAGACCGCGGGCCTGCGACAGGTGCAAAGGCTTTGGTTTTGCCACGCTTGTAGAATTTGTCCCGCGACCATAGGTTTAGAGTCTCAATATTAGGAGTGTGACAAAGTAATAACTGATCTTTGTGTGAGCCTTTTGACAATATAATTTTCGATCTTGTGCCTCATGTCACGGGTAGAACGTCCCAGATGGGTGTTGTGTGCATTGGACTGATGATTTATAGGTGCGATGCATGCTGAAAAGAGATGGCCTGGGCCTGGACTCGAGTCCAGACCCGAGGCACAGCCAGTTAATGGAACGAAACGAACATGGATATCGTTGGTTCGAACACGATCAGAAAAAGTCGGCGTGCATGCGAGCTGGCTCTATTTGTTTCCAGAAACTCAGACTCGCATTATTAAAAATATAATACTGATTGCTATTCTCTAGTTGCCCGGTATAGCAATGTGGGAAATGCGAACCATGTTGNCCGGGGACTTTCCCATAGGCGCTAAGGATATGCCTCTCATGCTCTGAGAGGGGCTAGAGTCAAATCTAGTGAGCGCACATTTGTTACTACCGCAAAAGAGTAGACTTACCTCAGCATGTGATTCGTTATCTCTTTCCGAGCCCATTCTGGTTCGTCCCAAGTAGGCTTTAGTTTAGAGAGAGCAACTGATCTTTCAAATTGTATTGTTATTGAGATTTCAATTCTAAACCCAGGATGTATCAGCAGGTGACGCAAAGGTGACGCGATAACATGGATGGGTTGGAACGGTCGGATTAATTAAGCCCGACCGCACACTCAATTATGCTACCGTAACTACCCTACTGTGGCGGACAACCAATAGCGACTGGTGGAACTTGATTCCGTGTGTGTTTTTTTATGAAGCGGTGACGCAACCCACCAGCTACTGATCCCACTTCATCTCCTCCTTTTGAACTTTTGAGAAATAGCAGCCTATGTTTGAACGATAGGGGATTGTATTTATTCTTAACTTGAATTCCCAGGGAGACAATGAAAAGATGGGCAGCCAGCAACCACCAAACGCGATTGCCCCCAAACCAGGAGCCAGCATTTTTCGAACAGATATCAGTTTCCACTCTCGGCTGCAGAAGGCATCTAGTGCTTGTCTAGAATGCCGGAAACGAAAACAAAGAGTAGGACTTCTTCCTTATCCCGTGGGGACTCTTCTAATTGCTATATAGTGTGATGGAGCTAGTCCATGCTCTTTCTGCCGTCGCAGCGGGCAACATTGTGTGATTGACAAAGAGGGTGATGGGCGTCGCAAAATCGCACTAAAGCGCAAGATCGATTCTCTAGAACAGGATAACGAATTGCTCCTTGGACTTATTCAGACAATACGCGAGGCTGATGAGGAGAGAGCACTTGAATATTTCCGCTTGATTCGGAGCAACTTGGCACTTGAAGACATTTGTCAGCACCTCAAGGCAAATATTGTTCCCGAACCCCCCGGGGGGGAGGCGTCGGCTTGCTTGGAGGTTGTCCATGCTGAACGCCAGACCGCTGGAAGCAATAGTTATATTGGCAAAACGATGGATTCTATCCGAGCCCCAGCACAATCCACTGATTCAGTGTACGATGACATTGGATCTATAGCGCATCGTATATCACTATATCCTATCTGCCTTGACGACATCGAGACCAATAGCCAGCAGAAAATATTCCTAAGCTGCAAGCTAAAAGCCTTGAAGGTTATAGTTACTGATATTTTGGAGGCTCTGGAGAACAAGAAAATGCCCCAGAGGCTTGTTGCTGCTATGAGGATCAACGCATTCTTGGAGCATATCCAGCACCTTCTGCCGCGAGATTCGAATAACAAAGAACCACCAGGGACTGCATTGAACCGAGAAAGCTCTCTTGAGCCACAAAATACAAGACAGTCGAGCCCTGGTGGTGCACGTGGAATAATGGACGTTAAGAACCTGACCTCGACGTTTTAATGTGAATCTACCCTGGACGCTAAATTGCCGGAGCTAATTATTTTATGGTTGTCTAGTTGAAGGAGGAATAAGGAAAAGGTAGCACCGACAAATTTAAGCGAAGCGGTAAGCGTTTTGACAAGGAAGCGAGGAGCTGACCTGAGCTTGAGTCGCCGATCCTGTAAGGAATTCAACTGTAAGCTCTGGGGCCATGGTGCGCTCCTAGTGTCGGATTTGTAGTTCGATGGTTCACAGTCCCGTCGAGATACCAGTTAGCAGCCAGTCGGCCAAGCTGGCTCCGGGGCTACGGCTTGTGAGCGAACGGGGGCAGCGGTCCAAGCGGGACAACTGGTTGCAGCGTCCCGTGATCTGTCTTGGCCCACGATGCCGAGAGGCTTTTGGTCTCCAGATTTTAGGCCCACCTGGAGCCAGGTCCAACGCCATCAATCTCTAACAGCTTCCGATTCACCCATGCCACAGATTGCGAGCATCAATGGCCAGATAGCCTCCGAAACGGGCTGTATAATGCCTGAAGCCACTGTTGCCATAGTCTGGGATCGCCGACCTCTGGGTGTTTGAATCACAGCTCGATTCGTCCGTGGCTGGAGAAATCTCGGTGTCGAAGACAGGAGAAAAAAAAGAGTGATCTTCAAGCAGGAAATGATTTTCTTCATGGGCAAGCATGGATCGCCGTTTCCCCCAGGGACGAATCACCCGGATGTGAGAGGGTCTGAGCGTCCCCGCATACCCGCTTTGGCTCGGCGGCAACAGGAAGGCCGATCGCTTTGGCTCCGCCAATCAGTGCAAGTTGGGCCTCTACATCGCTCGAAATTCGGCCCCAAAGAGCCGCGCAGATTGACAGAACAACCTTGTTCGATGACAGGGCTTACCGCGGGGCTAGGGTAAGCTATTGCAACGCCGCGTGCGGCGGAAGCACAATAAGTAAAGCTGTGGGGCCAGAGCCCATTCCGCCATTTAGGTCGACGGGAGTGCAAGCATACTGAATCTTATTAATATGATCTCAGATCGGCCGCATCTTTGGAGAAGGAAAAGTACGAAAAGCGCTACTAGGGCTCTGCATCGTTCCGGTGCACGAGTACGGAAGGCATTGATTGAGAGGGTTTCTCAGAAGGCAGGCTGCCCAGGTGCTCTCAGGGCTCTTTGGTTGAGGCCGCTCGCTGGCAGCGCTCTATTTCACCCGCTTGGTCTGCTATTTTCAATACTTACTCCAATGAATGGCAGAAGACCGCGGGCCTGCGATAGGTGCAAAGGCTTTGGTTTTGCCACGCTTGTAGAATTTGTCCCGCGACCATAGGTTTAGAGTCTCAATTTTAGGAGTGTGACAAAGTAATAACTGATCCCTGTGTGAGCCTTTTGACAATATAATTTTCGATCTTGTGCCTCATGTCACGGGTAGAACGTCCCAGATGGGTGTTGTGTGCATTGGACTGAAGATTTATAGGCGCGATGCATGCTGAAAAGAGATGGTCTGGGCCTGGACTCGAGTCCAGACCCGAGGCACAGCCAGTTAATGGAACGAAACGAACATGGATATCGTTGGTTCGAACACGATCAGAAAAAGTCGGCGTGCATGCGAGCTGGCTCTATTTGTTTCCAGAAACTCAGACTCGCATTATTAAAAATATAATACTGATTGCTATTCTCTAGTTGCCCGGTATAGCAATGTGGGAAATGCGAACCATGTTGAAGAATCCCAGATGCGGGCAAAGACTATTATGCCAATGATCGGCGAGGGTTGATTTTCAAGACGACGATCAGACTCGCGGGGAGTTGCTCATGGATAGCTGGGTAGCGCCCTATTCGTTCAGGGTCGCAGCTCGAGAAAAGATCAGCAAGCGACGGCTGCACGAAGAATGGGAATATGAGGGCTCGCACTCAAATACCTTGATAGATATGCCTGTAGCTCACGCTGCAGCAGCAAAGGCGACTGAGACTGTATGCACACCGTCGTCTAGCCAGAATAGAAGTACGAGGTAGATACAGTAACAATCGCGAACTGTCTATCGTTGCATGATCCAGTTACGTTACTCGAGTCGAGGTTCGAGTCTGTAGTTATTCTTAATAACACCCCCTCAGCATTCGCCTCGTTCTTTCGCTCATCGTCCCGTTTTGACCCCTAATTTGCTGCGAGCGGCAGATCCTCCGATTCAGGCGTTCTCTAGGATCTTCGGAAAGCCAAATGCCGAAGGGGTGGGTCGTGGATTAGTGGGAAGCGGGTACTTTTGACAGGCAACCTTAACCCAGGGTCATAGCGGAGGGACCGTCCCGACGGGTGAGACTTTCCCAACATGTGTCTTCTAACTGCTGTGTTCGGCCGAGCGATGAGTTTGAGGCTGCGCCTATAAAGTTCCTCCCTGGTTCCAGTCCAGGCCAGGCCTTTAAGATCCGTCGCACACTGCTCCAGGCTCCAGGCTTATTTTTATCACTGTTTCGGCATGCGGGTCTTTCAGTGTTCGTGGCCCTCGTGCAACAAGGTCGCCGTTCACTCATCGTTAATCAACGACTCAAGGCTAACATGGATATTTAGGATTTTGTGCGAAAAGCTGATCTCGCTCGACATTTCCAGATCCACGTCGATAAGCGCCCGTACGCCTGTTCTGAGCCAGGATGTTCGAATAGTTTCCATCAGCGTTCATCGCTGAATATACATCAGCGGATTCACACTGGCGATAGACCATATTTTTGCGAAGTCAACAGTTGTCAGAGAACATTTAGCGACGTGAGTGAAGCATCTTCCTATGCAATCAATTTTAAAACATGCCGTCCCTCAAGTATCCGGCTAATCCGCCGCACCCATAGCCATCAAGCTATTCCCGACACCAACGGTCACACAGGAACGACAGGCCATTCGTTTGTGGTATGCCGCACTGCAAACAGGAGTACGCTCTCTCATATGTCTCCCTTTCCTGAAAATACTCGCTAATCTGTATGGTTTCGCCAGGTTCGCCGGTGAAGGATCCTTAGAACAACACCGACTCCAACACGAAGAGCAGGACATTGCATTTGAACAACAGCAGCGCCAAGAAGTCCTAGCTCTCGATCTGTCCACATACAGCACGAGTATACCCCTCACGGTCCCTCCATCGACGCCCTCACCTACGTACCTCAACGGCGAACCTATCGTCTGGGACNCTGGGCCTGGACTCGAGTCCAGACCCGAGGCACAGCCAGTTAATGGAACGAAACGAACATGGATATCGTTGGTTCGAACACGATCAGAAAAAGTCGGCGTGCATGCGAGCTGGCTCTATTTGTTTCCAGAAACTCAGACTCGCATTATTAAAAATATAATACTGATTGCTATTCTCTAGTTGCCCGGTATAGCAATGTGGGAAATGCGAACCATGTTGTAGAATCCCAGATGCGGGCAAAGACTATTATGCCAATGATCGGCGAGGGTTGATTTTCAAGACGACGATCAGACTCGTGGGGAGTTGCGCATGGATAGCTGTGTAGCGCCCTATTCGTTCAGGGTCGCAGCTCGAGAACAGATCAGTAAGCGACGGCTGCACGAAGAATGTGAATATGAGGGCTCGCGCTCAAATACATTGATAGATATGCCTGTAGCTCACGCTGCCGCAGCAAAGGCGACTGAGACTGTATGCACACCGTCGTCTAGCCAGAATGGAAGTACGGGGTAGATACAGTAACAATCGCGAACTCTCTATCGTCGCATGATCCAGCTGACATTACTCGAGTCGAGGTTCGAGTCTGTAGTTATTCTTAATAAGCCCCCCCCCTCAGCATTCGCCTCGTTCTTTCGCTCATCGTCCCGTTTTGACCGCTAATTTGCTGCGAGCGGCAGATCCCCCGATTCAGGCGTTCTCCAGGATCTTCGGAAAGCCAAATGCCGAAGGGGTGGGTCGTGGATTAGTGGGAAGCGGGTACTTTTGACAGGCAACCTTAACCCAGGGTCATAGCGTAGGGACCGTCCCGACGGGGAGACTTTCCCAACATGTGTCTTCTAACTGCTGTGTTTGACCGAGCGATGATTTTGAGGCTGCGCCTATAAAGTTCCTCCCTGGTTCAAGTCCAGGCCAGGCCTTTAAGATCCGTCGCACACTGCTCCAGGCTCCAGGCTTATTTTTATCACCTGTTTCGGCATGCGGGTCTTTCAGTGTTCGTGGCCCTCGTGCAACAAGGTTGCCGTTGACACTCATCGTTAATCAACGACTCAAGGCTAACATGGATATTTAGGATTTTGCGCGAAAAGCTGATCTCGCTCGACATTTCCAGATCCACGTCGATAAGCGCCCGTACGCCTGTTCTGAGCCAGGATGTTCGAAGAGGTTCCATCAGCGTTCATCGCTGAATATACATCAGCGGATTCACACGGGCGAGAGACCATATCTTTGCGAAGTCAACAGTTGTCAGAGAACATTTAGCGACGTGAGTGAAGCATCTTCCTATGCAATCAATTCTAAAACATGCCGTCCCTCAAGTATCCGGCTAATCCGCTGCACCCATAGCCATCAAGCTATTCCCGACACCTACGGTCACACAGGAACGACAGGCCATTCGTTTGTGGTATGCCGCACTGCCAACAGGAGTACGCACGCTCATATGTCTCCCTTTCCTGAAAATACTCGCTAATCTGTATGGTTTCGCCAGGTTCGCCCGTGAAGGATCCTTAGAACAACACCGACTCCAACACGAAGAGCAGGACATTGCATTTGAACAACAGCAGCGCCAAGAAGCCCTAGCTCTCGATCTGTCCACATACAGCACGAGTATAACCCTCACGGTCCCTCCATCAACGCCCTCACCTACGTACCTCAACGGCGAACCTATCGTCTGGGATGCCCTCCCCTGCGACGACATAGACACGATACTAGCACGCCTCACACAACCAGCACACCCGAATTCACATTTAATGCCTGGCCACACGACGCCCAACCAGAGTCAGATCGGGATCCACCAGCTCGATCAGCAATATATCGATCTGTCTGGACTGGCCGCCCATCAACCCGTCCAGCAGCCGTTTCACGACTGGCCGTTACCCCCCGCTGCGTCCAGACCGAATCGGAGCTTCCCAAACTCCATAGCATATAATGACAACAGCTGGCTTTAATAATGGGAGAGGAGAGGTTCTTGTCATATTACATGTGTGAGGTCTGTCCAATACGCGCTTCGACGCTATGACCATTCCCGCTGCCAAGGAACTGACGATCGGTTCGTGAAACATCTTGTCTCAGAAACGGCATTATCTTAAGAATAGACTCGCCAGAGAACATACGTTCATGGGATCATCTACCTATAACTGGGAGAAAAGTTGCCAGGACAACGTAGGATAATCTCGAAATCCTATCGGGTTGTATACAATGTTTGGCGATAGCACCCTCCCTAATCTCTGAATCTCATCTCAGCAAATAAGTAGAATTCTGCTGCAGCCATGATTTGCAATTTGATCTTAAGATTTCTCGTTCAAGCGCGCTGAGAAGCTTATCCACCGCTTAGCGCCACAGTAGTCATTCTGAGGTCCGATCGAAATCACGATTGGCTTACAGCAAAGGAATTCACCCCAGCTTCTGCGCATTGACTTAAGCGATTTGCCCAAAAGCCAGAAAGAGACCAATGCCAGCTGCAGCCTAATCGTAACCAATCAGGACTGCACTACAGCAGGCAAAAGCTGTGGCCTCTGTGAACTGAGTTATGGCCAAAGCGAAGGATCAGGCACCGATACATAGCCTAGGTAAGGCTAACCTGAACTCGCCTTTCGCACACGCTCCTGTCTCCCGGAGATGCAGTCAAAAGTACGTTTGCAGCGAGTCACCTTCTCGATTTTTAAAACGCCCTCAGGCCACCTCGCGCTGAGGCCTTAAATAGTATCTCCTAGTTCGAGATAGTTGCGACATTGAATTCCAGCAATAACCGCCTTTTCCTGTTTATGGCAATGAAGGGTCTCGACCTCGCCTCATGGAGCTGTGGTGTGTTGCTTTGGAACCTTCCCCCAAAGGACTCTTGCAACCCTTGGGCAACCGACAGCGTGGCGGTGCCTGATTCGTAGGTACTAAATCCCCTTATGTAAATCACTACTGGCTTTGACCGCTGGACATCACGTAGGATAAGCAAGAGCACTAACATGCACAGCTCGGAGTGATAACAGCCACGGTAGAGGATAAAGTTATGTTCAAGGCCAGAAGGAGGAGAAGCCCCGGCTTATCAAACATGAATATAACACTACCCTGTTCGAGAATAACTCTGAACAGTATAGTCTCATATCGGTAAGAGGGTCAAGAAACCGTAAGCGCTTCGACAACAGGAGGAGCCAAGAATTTCGTGGTTACACAAGGCGGGGTTAGAACCCGAGAGAGAAGTTCATAGCTGACGGCTCAGCCAAATCTCAACCTCGGATGTCTGTACAGAATACCTTTAACTCAATGGCTACAACATCGAATCCCACCATTGCTTGTGCCGAGAATATTGCGATATTGTACCTACTTCGCAGTACACCAGCGCCACCATCACGTAATCGCGCTGATTGCCTACCGGGCTTTCAAAGGCGCTCTTCGTTGCCTTTCGACACTGAGCGTAAACTGGTCGGCGCGCTAGCATTCATTGCACATAGCAAAGATGACGTTGAACATATCCCTGCTATATGCCTTGACGAGGATGCTGAGTCAGGTTGTTTGAAAGTTATATTTGCCGTGAATAAAGCAAGTCATGATGATGGTGAAGAGGCGATTTGCCGTATCCAGCAGGGATTAGAACGTATATTCGCAATTCTTGCGACTGTCTCTGGTGAGTAACACGGGTTTGTTTGAGAAGTATGCTGATAATGTTAGAGTCAACTCGCTATGAAGACACAGGGGATCAAATTCTTACTGCTGTGGTTTCTATGTGCTCATCGCGCATATTGTCTCGGTTGCGATTGGCGTTTCCCTCTGGAAAGACGATGAAACGCCCTTTAAAAGGCACTCTTCGAGAAGCTCTGTTAGCTGTGAAGATAGCCAGGCAGAAGCTGAATAATGGTATTTTATTCGAAGCCGCGGGCAGCTTTACCCTGAGAGCGAAGGAAGTCGAGAAACTTCTTGACTCGTGGTCCCAATATCAGGTTGACAGACGTCTTGTGGAGGTTGTGGAAGGTATTCATCGACTGCAACAGATCGAGGGGCTTGCCGACCTGATTCGCACCATCCCTAATAAGGACATGGGGCCCGACGCAAGGAAGAGTTTGCTTAATATTATTAGCAAGGTCTCCAGGTACTGGGAAGCCGCTAGGTTTCTTTACCGCTTGGCAAAGAAATCTCCGCTGGCCCGAGCAATGACAACAGTTCCCGTTCGCCTTCCCAAGGAGGCATTTTCTATCCCCACAATTAGTGGATATGCTCCTGATCTACGGTCTAAAATCACTGAGGCCACTCCGAGAGGCAGTCAACAGAAGCTTTTAAAAGAAATCTGCACAATATTGAAGATCAGTCAACAAGATGCTGTCAACAAATACTCTTGCCAGGTCATACGGACTTTAAGCACCGCAAAGATCCATGCTGAGATTCAATTAATTGCCCACTGCGAACTAGAAAACCCGGGAATACCACCGCGAGTGATCTGCTCGAGCAAGGATGCCTGCTTTCTTTGCAACTTATGTCTCCAGGTATACCAGAAAACATACACACCAAGATCGCACGGACGACTATATCCAGGTTGGAGGCTACCTTCCGTGCCGCAACTTGCAGAGCTAGAGCAAAGATTCTCCCAAGTTCTAGGACATCATTTCATGGAAACTTGTGCCGCGCTTCTGTCAACTCGCCGGAGAGCCATCTATCCAGATCCGAACGAAAGCACCTTGTTTACACTTCCATTATCAAGGACAACGACAAGGGTTTCAATATTATCTGAGGCCACTAGCCATGCCAACCCGCTACCAAGATCAAGCAATGTTAGTATTGATGGCGGTAAGAGCAAACCGCGTACCAAGAATACAACTCTTGCAGAGAAGCGGGATACGCCTTCAGATAGCCCAACTTCATCGCACTACTACTGCACGAAGTCAAAAGAAGTGGAGCCAGAATATTGCACATTACCCCAGAGGTCGAAAAAATATGGATCTCTAAGCCCTGGAGAATCCTCTAGAGTGTATAGAGCTGGCTCCTTTTCCTCCTTGCAAATACAGATCGAGCATGCCACAGGTTTGAACGATCTTACGTATTATCTTGAGTGGGTAGGCGCCGAAGAAGCTGTGGAGGTTCAAGCGAAACGTTCTTCGCCCAAATTAATCGACACAGAGCACCTTGAAGGCATTATGACCCTGTCCGAGCAGAACTCGTTGTACCTTATGGCGAAAGACACTGTCTTGAAGGTTAGCTGGGCCAGTGGGGCTAAGGTCGCTGCCTCCAACGGGTCATGATGGGGATTAGCCGAGTGTGAATTGTGGCGACTATATATCGTGCGCTCAACTTGTGATGACAATCTCGATATTAACAGCGAATCTTACCAAGGTTCTGGGCGAATCTGGGCATGAAGGTTGTTGAGTTACAGGACTTGTTACTATTTATTGGCTGAGAGCCTGGAATGTCCAGCAGGGTATAATAGCGCCAGATTTCAGCAGTGCTTCAGCAATGCTTCAGGCTGACAAAAGCAGATATTACTGGCCAGAAAGTCCCGCAAATAAAGCCTTGGCATGGACATGCTGAAGTAGACTGAAGTAGGGCCCCACTTATTGAGCCCACAATCATATCTTCTGCGACGAGATGAGTACTATTTTATTTGCTCATTGCGCTCGTCACTGTTACAACCAGTCATTATCGAATCGTCTGTTCCGCACGCTTCCCAAACCAAGTCTTTGTCTATTTGCCACACCAATAGTCTAGGACAGCTGAATTCGCTCCTATATATCAGACTATCGTTGTCACAAAAATATTCTTTTCCATTTTTCCTCCAAAAATAGCCACTAGGTAAATAATTCGGACCCGATCTCCAACCGAAGCCCACCATGAACCAAGAGGATATTAAAACGACTCTTTTAAATCGATGCCACCAGATAGAAAGCCTTATGGGCAAATTATACGATGTGAGCTGAGTTGTAATGATTGCGTCAACTCTTCTTTAGCTTACCAGATTCAAGGAACTCAAACTTTGCAAATCGGACATTCAACGACTAGAAAACTCACGGGAGTCAGGAACCTCTCAAGCGGATGATAGCACGGCTTTTAGAACTGCTCAATCGCATCTTGAATCAGGCACGCAACGTACAATCACACTACCCCCGCCACCAGCCTTACCTTTTCTAGAACTACCATTGCTATACTCAAGCGGTGCAAGGTCACAGCCTAGAAGGTCCAGACGCAAACCAGATTGGACGAAATGGCCGAGGATCATGGGGTGTAAATACAGCATCCCTACTATACGGAGAAACCTCACGGGATCCATATCTGAATGTGGGCCTGACAAGCTCTTGACTACGCGGCTCTTTTTTACTATAGCCAGTCCACTCGCTATGGCTCAGCTTCAAGAACTCTTAGGCTCGATGCGACAAAATAACAATATCCTCCCTATTCCAGAACTGGATTCTGTTGATGGCGCTTTGAATGCCCTTTGCATATCACAGGGCTCTAGTTTGATTGCTTCTATTCGAACGAGACTACACCTAATCGATCTTGTCGAGTTGTATAAGCAAAAAAGAATGCAATACCAGCGAGACAGCCATCAAGCATTCACCGATCCTGAGACTATAACACGTATTACTTCCGAGAGGTTCCCGCTGCTAGAACGGCTCCAGAATTCAGGCGTCAATATGAAATCCTACGACGTAAACTATATGACGGCAGGAACTGGCATATGCTTGCCCTGGAGTTTGGTAAATCAATAGTCTATTTTCTTCCAAGCAGAGGAGAGTTTGAGATCTCAAACACTACTCATGTAAACCACCCAAGACCCATCTCTAAAGAGCTAACCCTTTTCCTAGTGTCCAACGAGTGCCAGAATGCCACTTTGACAATTTTCTGGAAGTTCTGCGTGAAAAGCGCGGTGGCTTCCTCCGAAAGTGTATCGAACGAACAGACGGAGTTTTAAAAGATCTCTCAAGTTTACGCCGGACTAGTCTGCTACGACTAGAAGCGATGCCTCTAGATGAGGTCAAAGAAACAAAGTTTGACTCGGACGCGTTACTGTTACTTCTCAGTCCTTTGTGAACCTCTTTTAACCTACTGATATCAGGCCTGTTCTTTGTACCTTCTCAAGGAGTGTCAATCTCATGCTCTTCAATTGTTTCCAAAACCCCATGATAGAGATTCGTAGTCAACTCCCTTATATTCAAAGCCCGTGGCGAACGGATATGGTTTCATGTTAGGTGGCTCGCTCACATACTTATCCATTGTTGCAAGACAAAGATCGACGGCAAAGTTAGGGACTGCCTCTAGAAGCTCGGAATCAATTGCCGTGCTAAAACCTTTTCGAAGACTAGGCAGATTGTTGACCACCACATCTATTGCCAGTGTTTTGAGTTCCTGGTAGTTGGCCCTTTCCGAGTAGAGCTCCTTGATTACCTCGGCAAACAAATCTCTCTCTGAGCAATTCGTAAAAGATGTACGAAATTGCTCCCTTGCTTTGTCTTTCAAAGAGCTGATCATAAAATAGTCTGCTTCACCAAAGACGCGCATGTGGAAGTAGCATGGGTGGAATTTTGCCGACGGATCAATGACGGGCTCCACGGCATCCTCCTGGTCGCTTTGGTCGCTTCCACCCATGGGGTCTTGCGCGATATTTTCTGAACTGTGTATGGTAATCTCATCGGTGGCCTCTTCTACTTTTGACGCAAGCTGATTTGGAGCATGTACTTTCGGACACTCCGTATCGCAATCGAGCTGTGGATCTTGAGCTTCAGGGATAAGGCGTCCGACAGTATAATTTCCCGTATATAGAAATTCGAGCACCTTCTCAAGAAGGACTGGGTCTGTATTGTCAAGACAGATAGGCTCTCGGGTCTCCTGATCACAAAAGCAGTCGGTTAGGCTTGGTCTGAAGGCTATTTAAAGGTCTGATTCTTCGCACCTTGAATTCTCCAAAACAAGCTCTTTTGAAATACTCCGACCTAGAGCAAACCACAAGCTTATGAGCTGGGAAGGTTCTACCCTTGCAGATAATTTCCAAATCGCTGTATTCTGAGTTGAGATGAAGGCTATGTTTACATCAGCGGTAACGCTACTTGAACCAAGCTGTGTTACTCACCCAGCAATAAGATTCAGAAGATGTTCTTGTGCCTTCCCATCTGGCCAGCTGGAGGACTCTGGCTCGGGCTCTGGATCAGCTGGCACAGATGATTGTGAGACTTTGCGGTTTTTTTTCTTCCCCGCCATTGCTGGGTGGAGAATGAAGTATAAAATTCAGATTTCTATCCGGTTGATAGACGCTAGAAGCGGGTGACGGAGTCATAGAATGCAGATATCTGTAGCAAGTCCGAGTTTCTCATAATTAGGAGTTCAACCCCGCTTCAGAGCATTGGCTGCACTATATTTGCCAGCGAAGCAAGAATGTATCACTGCCTAAGTATAGTATCCAATCAGACCTGTGCCGCAGCAAGATCCTCTGCGTGGCAATGACTGATTCGTAGGCACCAAACGCGATGGATGGTGGCGACCAGCAAGGTGAAATTAAACCATTAATACATATGGAGCGTTTCTCTGCTTGAAAATGCCTAAGGCGTTTTGAGAGGGTCTTGGTACATAGCAAAGACGGGGTGAATTGAGTCAAGTGATTAAGTGCTTCGACAAGGACGCGACGAGCTGACCTCAGCATGAGCCGCCGATCTCTTGGACTTCAATCGTAAGCTCTCGGCTCATCCGCTTGATCACGCGCCCAGTACAACCTCGTGACCATCTAACCCCAACGGAAAATCCCTCTACCGCCGGGCTTAGTCATTTCATGGTCGACTGACATGCGCACTTGCACGTGATGCTGTCCTTTGCCACTGATTTTACTTACCGCCTTGGTTCCTGATGAATTTCTAATTTCATCCCTCAGTGCCCCGCGATCAGGATTGGTAGCAGCGCTTACGAGTCTCTATTGGATGATATCTGACGCCCCCATTTCAGCGCTTCAGCAATCTGTCAGACAGACCTTCAGCCTCACGAAGGCCAACAATCAAGTCTCGGAGATAAGATCAATGAGGCAAGTGCGTCCCAGGAACAAGTCGATCCTAGGGACAAGGACATCCTAAATAAGTATATCTCAGAATCAAGATAGTGTATCTCCTACACCGCAAGCTACACGACCGATATGGAATAAAGCCCGTAAGGGAGATCTGACCGGGGTTCTAAGCCCAAATCAGACATAGGCTTGTGGTCTGAACACCTACAAGGTCAGAGGGGGCAGAGCAATGGCCTGAGGTGGTAGGTCCGGACGCTGATGACTTGGGTAGTAAGATCGGGTGCGTAGGTCTATTGACGGAGTACCAGAAACGGCAGACCCTGCGCCCCCGACCAGGCCGGTCGTCAGATCGCGGTCGTACGACCACCACAGACGGGGGACCGCCAACTGGTGTCTACGGCAGGTGCAAGACCCAGACAGTCGTCCGCCTACATGGTTGCGGCCTGTCTGATCTGCCGACCACCCCAATGTTACTGATCAGAATCACTTTAAGCTTTCAGCACAGTGGTGCTCGTGTTTCAGATTGCAAACTTCAGTGAACTGTAAATCACTCCCCCGACAAATTCTGTTAGCACCGAAGTTATTCTGACGAACCTGTCACAACTCTCACCCAACTCCTACCCAGAAGCAGGCATACCACTGATCATCCACTAGTAAAAAATAGGTTAATGCGCAGCTCCTCAAGGTTAGGATGGGATTCGACCGTTCGATCGCTGTGATTGGATGGTGGATTCTCGCGACCGCCGAGAGAATCGCTAATCAGGGAGTGACGCATCTAGATCACGTGAGACTACCGATTCGGTCATGCAGCCCTCAGCCTCAACCTCCTTTCGCTTCACCTCAGAGAATCCAACGCCAGCCATGGTGGTTCTTACCCGTCAAATCTACCCTCGAAAAATATTGCTACCATCGCTGGTCGACTGTTAACGCCTTATAATATCTTCCTTCACATTTATTAACCCCTCCGTTTGAACCTAGAGACAGATGGCGCCACCTCTAAGTTCCGACTCTCTTACCTCCCTTCATGCTCTCCAAGACGCTGCGAGAAAGCATTCACGTCAGGCGCCAGAGATATCGCTTCCAGAACGCCCTCGAAACTTTCAGAATGATTCTCCATACTCCGACGCTGCGATCGGCGTGGTGAGCGTTTATACAACCCACCTTTATAACGAACACGGTTCTTGGGCGACTGAGGTGAATGGAATGAGGCAAGATATTAAGGCGATGGACAACAAAGTGGAAAGATTCGAGCACGGGGCTAAAGAGGCTCTCACTGATTTATCCGGCCGTTTGGACGATGTCGAAAAGGACCTGAAGGAGCTTAGAAAAGAGGTCAAGGACGTTCAGAGCCAGGTCAAGGACGTTCAGAGCCAGGTCAAGGACGTTCAGAGCCAGGTCAAGGACGTTCAGAGCCAGTTTACCTCGTTCCAACAAGAAGCCAACAGCCAGTTTGACCATCTTCGATGCCAATTCGCAGAGCTGCAGTCCTCCGTCTCCAACACAACCGCCATCCAACTCAACGCCTTACGCAAGTGGTTAGACGACCCCATCGAACCCATCTCCGCTCTCGTTTCCGCTCACGGCAAATTGGCTTCGGTCATTGCCCCAGACTTTCCGCAAACCGTGAGAGAATTATGGCAACTGAATTCCAACAGTTCGTCTCGCGTTTCTCTGTGTTATTAAATGTGCTAACTCGCATCAAAGTCCCCGCTCTCGTTCGTCTGTCGAAACACTATTCCGTGACCGGCTGGGAACGATGGCAGCGAAGCGCCTCGGACGACACCGACCGGACCGATTTCGCTGACTTAGACATTGCGGTGGCCGCTTATCCTCACCGATGCCTAATGGCCTTGTCCTCGAAATGGGGTTTGCAGTATGCCTTCCTGGAGCGACCAAGAAAACGACTGGCCGAGACGGAGGATGAGCTGGAGGTAAGGCGTATAAGGCTACGGAGATTCTCAGGAACCGATATTGTTGAATCCGTCATCTCGCAGGATGAGAGTGGCGAGCTCACGCGTCAGGACCAGATCACCCACCTTAGACCTCCACAGCCGGTGCCGAGTGACTCCGTTATTTCTCGTGTATACGAAAAGTATGCTGGCGCTCCAGGCCGGACGTCCTTTGAGTCTGCGCTGCTGGGCTGGGACGCAAACATAGCCTCCGAACCATCCCTGCGGAGTGGCAAGTCCCACCGCAGCTAAATTGCGAAACAGCGTTGGCGCTAGTGTTGCCGCCCCGTGGTATGTATTCCCGATGACGTAGAGATCGATGATCTGACGGAGATAGCTTCTTCCGCCCCAGAGACCTTCCAGCTCGGGGCACCTTGCAGGATGGTGGCGTCCGAGCCAACAATCCGATGGGCATCGCTCAGGAGGAGTGCCGCGTGATCTGGCCCTCGCGGCGCACCCATGATCTGCTCGTCAGCGTCGGAACCGGGTACACCCCCGGGACCGAGGGCGCGGGCGATCCACCAGGTCGACGGTTTCCCGCTGGCTGGGGCCCCGCGCGGCTCTGGCGCGCATACAATTCGTCACCGTGCATGGATGGCATGGAGGCTTACCGGGAGGGGCGGGTGCACGTCCCATCGTCCCTGCGATCGAACACCATCCGCCTCGACCATGCCCTAGACGGGGATCTCCCGCGGCTGGATGACGTGGGCAAGCTGGAGGAGCTGGCGGCTCTTCCGTTCACCGTACCCGATGAGCTCGTGCGAGCGGTGCTGGCCACGTGCTTTTTCTTCGAGCTGGATGCTCCCCCATCGCGGGCTGACGGTCAGTATCGCCTGCACGGCTCGATTCTGTGTGCACGGACGCAGTCCCGACGGATTGTAGATCGGGTGCTGGTCGAATTTCCCGGGGCGCGCTTCTGCAGTGGCCGGGGTCACTCATTGGGTCGGGTGGATGACGACGATGGGTGTCTCCTCTGCGGCTATTACCGCAAACAGGTGACGCTGTCGGTGCCAAGCCTGGACGAAGAGATCACGATTGCGCTCGCCAGCCCGGCCCAGCAGCGTCCGATTGGCGGCTTTCCGAAGACCATACGGCAGTTGCTGCACGATCAACAGGCGGAGGCCGTGTTTGGGCGACCGGACCACCAGGATCACCGCTGGCCGCCGCGGCGGTCCTGCTACTGCGTGACGATGACCAAACGGCGGGTGCATTTTGTGGAACCGGCGCCGCAGCGCAAGAAGCGACGGCTATGACGTTACTCGGGCTTCCGATATAGCTACGGGCAGTCCGGCTACACTGCGAATATTCTGCTGGAATCTTCTAGATCTCTTCTTCTCGAGAAGGCCGGATGTGTATGTAGATGTCGTTTCGTCCACAGGGAATGGTGTGGAGGTGGCATTGGAAAGAACAATACTGCAGACTATGCATTCAAAAAATCTACTCGCGGGATTGCACCGTAAGCACGCCTCGCTCAGGACTAGCAATCCTATCCGTATCCTCCCAGGAGCACCATAGGACCAGATATTGGGTCGCAGCCCGTCCGTTGCGATTGGCCGATCTCTTCGCCAAGACTTTGATCGGCCTTAAGCGGTGGATATGAGGCTGGCCAAGGTCAGCGCGCTGCGGTTTGGGTGTATCATAAGGGAGAGAGCAAAGTTTACGCTTTCTATAGATATGTCATCGGCATTGTCGCTGATGCCGTTCTCGGTTGAGTAGTCACTGAATGAACGTCGTGACAACGTTTCTGTATCGGACACCACAAAGTCGCGGTCGCTGCTGGTTTCGGACGGGTTGTCGCTGCTTTCTGACGTGGACAGGAAATCAGTCGTGCTTTCCGTCTCGGGCTCGCTTCCCGTGGACGGTGAGTGTCTGAGGTAACTAATGGACGACATGTCAATGATGTATGATGCAAGACACTGTGATTGGAGGCAGACAAGGCCTGGTTGATCAGGCAGAACAAAGGCAAAATCTCTGCTGGGGAAGCCTTCATTTGGGGAGAACAACGTAGGTACATATAGAACCTAGTAGGGCTCTGGCGTTTTGGACAGAATTGGACATCTATATCTACTGGCAATGACCGACTTCTCTACGCGCATAAGAGCATCAGTCAGGGAAGTAATGGTGAAGGGATCCATGATGACCAGGAAGGCGATCAAACGCCCTCTACAACAGCCCACTAAAAAAGGTCCATCTCAGTCCGCTTTTATTGACGTCCAGCCGTGGAGAATGGCCATTTCTCATCCCCTTGGCCAGGCTTGCTCCACAGCCGCTCTCCGGTGGCACCGGGCGAATCCGCTGTTGATGTAGGATTCTCGGCCATGGTGACATCCCCTGCTGGGGTCGGAGACTTAGTCCCACCCGATCGATCTCCTTCGGTGCCTTCAAGCTGGTTGAGCACACGGTCGAGCATGGTCTCAAAGGATTGGGATTCCCCCGTGGGGGCCTTCCCCCGCTCCTTCAACAGATAGTCAATCACCGTTCCCATCCGCTGATTGGTGTCGTAGAGAAGACCGGCCAAGTCGACCGTCTCTTCCAGGTCCGAGGTGGTTTGCTGCAACGCCTCTTGGAGGTTTCGATGCTCTTTGGTGTACTTCTGTTGCTCCCGGTGTGCGCGCAGAGCCCGCACACTGAGCTCGCAGATTACACGGAGGGCGTCCTGGTCACAGTAAGCGAGGCACCTGCTGAAGGAGGCAAATACCTACGGCAGTATCCATTTTGCGAGTAATCACAGCACAGCCGCAGCAGACAGGGGTGTCGGAAGCAGGATGAAAGCGAGAGTCGGGAGGGACGCATTGATATTTATAGCCATCCCCCATAGGAGTCGAAAAACCTATATCGTAACCCTCGTTGCTGGCGCAATGTCTTGCAGTTCAAATTGAGATGACCGTGCAAGAGGAAGCCCTGTCTCGGCTCTCACGTCACATTAGAAGCCCATTACCTTGTGTTGAAATTGAGACCTAGTCGGCGATTTAACCACGGCCGCATAAATAGCACGTCCGCATTGCCTTACAGCATGGTTCTGTATTTGAGGGCAACGCCGTGGACGGTATGGTCAGTGCTACTGCGGCATCCTTCGGGTTAAATGCACGTTTGGAGATCAAGCAGCACTTAAACCTACGATCCCCATTTAGAGTTTCTTCGGACCACTCCCAGTACATACAGGATGGACGAGATTGTCGAGATTGTCGAGATTGTCCGTCGGATTGGCCGCCGGCAAGGCCAAAATGCATACTATCGTACATGCTACACTCTCCTGAAGAAAAGTCAAGATCTCCTCCTCCAGACGTCGAACGAGCTGCTGGATCTCTACCACTCCAATGCATTCAAGAAACCAGAATCCGTCTCTACGATTGCAGATGACCTGCGCAACGACATACATGCCTTGCTCGCCCGAGAGCGCCGCGCACGGTCACACTGGGACGAGTTTTACGAGTCGGACAAGTGACGTCTGTGAGACGAACTTCTCCTTCTCGGGAGGAATGTCTGTGCGTATTGCAATACATGGATGCCTGGCAGCTCAGGACACTCTTTATCAAGTTCGCCCATTGTGATAGATCTCAATACTAAGAAGCTTTATAGATATCACATCCTTGATCCTCGAGATGGTATTAAAATGGGGAGCTGCTTCAGGAGTGCATACTTATCTCCGGTGGACTATAACATGACCGCTCTATAGACAAAGGAAACGTAGTCAGTTAAGCTGAGCACACGCTCTATTGGGCCGCCATTACAGCCGCTAACCTACATTACCCCGACTAAAAGTACATCAACCACGTTACAGTAAGCCTATGTAGTCTGATGGAAGTAAATACCATGCTCACTTTGCCTAGCTTGAATTGGCCTTAACTGACTTGTCTCTGACGGCCAGCTAGACTATAGACTATGTGCCACACGAGGTTTGTGCGGGTTGGTCTCTGGGTGAGCTGGAATTGGGTGGGTTTCTCTGGGACAACATTGGAGGTCAGCATCACGTCCGGCATGTGCATTCTTCGTGGTCTCACTTGTGCTCTGTGGTGAAAGATCGATCCTATTGTGGACACCCGGCTTTTTCGCACCTTTAGACTTGTCTGGGAGCCTTGATGCTGCGTTTGCGTTGACCGGTAATCTGTTCCGGCACACCAGGCGGTTCTCTGCAGAAGGGAGTTCGTCCATGCCGGCGTAAATCTGCCGAGTAGTGATATAGCGAGGACAGGGAGCGGACCGAGATGGAACAACGGCCGCTTGCTGTCGTCCCCCAGTGGCCTTTGCCAGCATGCCTCGGCGTCTCTGCAGGTGCCTCATCTGAAGTTTGCCCCGCTGTCTGATATGCTCCTTGACTTGTCGGAGCTTGGATTGAAGAGACTCCGACGACCGTGGGCAGATCGTGCTAGAATATTCGTCCGCTTTTTCGGACCATGTCAGATGGGGCCGCTGAGCAACCCATATTTCGAGGTTCTCTTCCTCTTGATTTCTCCAGGGACGATAGTCTCGTC